CAAACGGAGGAGAGCCACCAACACTCTGGCACCCTCTACCGTACATAAAAATAATGTCAAAAACCACTGAACGTATCGCTGTAGAGCTCAGCGTGTGTATTGTTCATCGTCTGACAGCTACTGTGCGTTCAGAGGTCATGCAAGTAAAAGACCCACCGGATGTAGGTGAGCAGTTTGGCATCGTTTATCAAGCGCCATGTCGTGACTGTTCTTGCCATTATAAAGGGGAGGCAGGGCAACGGCTTGGCTCGCAAATAACGGAGCACAAACGGGCAGTGCGGAAAGGCGACCCACTGTCCCAGATCTGGATGAAGGCCATGCATTCGATATCACGGTCACGCGGATAATGGTACGCGCTGCTAATAAGCCGGGACGAGAACTACTGGTGTCAGACTCCAACTTTATCATTAGGCATGCGAATACATCGCCCTGTTATTTTACCCTCGGTTCGCGCGACCAACAAGCACGGCCCAGTTCGTATCTAGGAGCGCACGCTGCCACGCCAAGGACGCGCACAGAGACTAGACGAGAGACGCCGTGAGCGTGGACAAATCACGAATGTCACCCCCTCCTTTAATCCCCATTTACTCGTAGCTGGACTACAAAACATGCCATTGCTTTCTGTTCTCTCATTTTCTCTGACGATGGTCTCTTGTGTGAAGCCGAAAGCTCAGACTAATACAATTGCCATCCCAGTGATCGCACATTTGCTCCTACTGAGTAGTAAGTATATTTGTATCACTCTGTTATATATCATCTTTTAAATTATTGTCTCTACAACACGGAGATGGGAACTTTCATAATACAAGTGGTCTAGCACTAAATTCCAAGAAAATTGTGACTGAGACAAGGACTAGGGACAAGGTTAGAATTAGTGTTAGGATTGAGACACGGGAATCCGCATCCGCCGTGGAATTTAGCACAAGGCCGCGTTTATGAGGTACGCGAGGTTCCTATGTCGTTTCGCACTATTTAAATATAAACTGAACTGTGCTGGCTAAATGATGACCATACATGATTTACCTTGAAGTTATTTATGATTGCAGAAACTGCTGTCCGAGATGAATGAAATTGAGTCCTGGCTTGAAGAACAGGAAGCACGGCTAAAAAACCTCAATTTGGCATCTGAACAGCCAGGTTTCAATGTAGACAAGGCTATGAAAGAACAGGATGACATTGAGCGGGCAGTTGAGGACGCTAGACAACGCGTGGAGGCCATTAAACGCAAGTGCGCCGTGGAGAATGTCAGCTTCGAATTGCTTAAATTCGCTGCAGCACGCGCTGAAGGTGCTGAGGGCAAAGCAAACAGCGGCATCATCTCAGACGCCCGAGTGGCAGAAATCCGACGCAGGGAATCCTCCAAGATCATTCAGTCTAGGTAAGATTGGTTAGCTGAACCTGATACGTACTGATCTCATACAGTTAAAATCCGCTTTAAGGAAGCTGGATC